CCTCTAGGTCTCTCTCTGTCTGTCTGGCGAGCGCACGCACGCGCCCTACAGTGAAAATCTCTCCAAAAAAAAAAATATTTCTCAAGATCGTAAAATTAATACTTGAAAGAAGAAAGGAACAGAGTTAGAATTACATCCCTTTCGAAAATAAACTGCCCTTGAGTTCTTGTAATAAGAGTCTTCTAAATACGTTGTTAACTTTCATTATTATTTCTACAAATAATTTCTGATCTGTGTATTTCAATAAAACTGCCCCGAATACCATTGATTTGGAAACAAATGTTCTTTGCATGGTATATACAAGGAATGCATATCTCAAAGCATCTTGGATATTTTTATCTATTTTATTTTCATATTTTCAGTATTTAAAGCCAAGTTAATGAAACACCACTGAGAAAATCAAGGCTATTTAATGCCATGCTCAGATACACTTGAAAGAGTTCTCAAAAGTGCCTATGGTAATGAGCAAGCCATAGTTTCAAACGTGGAAATAGATACAGTTCACTTTAGTGAAATCTCATCCTTTATAGGTACCTCATTTTTTATTTTTCCTTAAATTAATGTTCACCTTAGGAATATCCAGCAAAACTCAATGTTATAAAGGTGAGTGTGTGAATAATCTGTAAATGAATATATACACAGCCAACATTCAATTTGGCTTTCCATTCAAACAGAAACAGTGTCAGTGGATGTTGGGCCTTATTTTTCTATTCATGCTTACTTTTTCAGAGGTTTATAAACAAAGTAAAACAATTCAGATTTCAGTGGGAGAGCACACAGTAAATATATTTAGGTTTAAATAGAAAAAAACCCCACAAACTTTAAATATATCAAAACAGAGGTGTAACCATGCCACCATGCCAGGGACTCACTTGGGGACTGATCAACCATGTGGGGAATCATTCCACAGAAACATAATGGAGATGCAGAAGTGATCACTTCTTCCTCAAAGGCCTTAGGATGACCTTGACTGGAGCTGCCGGGTGGCGTGGTGGTTAAGGGCGCTGGATTCCCACATGGCTGACCGTGGTTTGAGTCCTGGGCCTGATGGCTTGCTTTCTCACTTTCCCTCTCTTGCTCTGTCTCTGGTCAAAATAAAAAAAAATAATAATAAATGAAAAGAAATAGAATAATTATTTTAAAAACAAGAAAAGAAAAGGTGGCCTTGATCATGAAACTCTTCGTCCTAATACACTTTGGCAACGAAAACCATTTTTAAGGGTAATTCCGCAGTTTGTGCTTGAGGTTCTCTAGCAAGCTGGGTGGCAAGTCTGGAACTCTTATACACAGCTGCTATTGCACTCTTGTAGAGCATAAAACAAAGTCAGCCTCCTCTGTATAATTTCAGTGTTTGGTGGGTTTTAACATTTCAGTGCTAACCTCGTTGTACTTCATAAATGCTGGGAAGCAGAGAACTAAATGATTAAATGCAGAATTTTTTTTTCCTGATTTTTTTTTTAAACCTTGCATTTCAAAGAAATGACTGGTAGGTTGCACTCAAATTTGCAAATTACCCAACTAAATGAAACTGGAATTCTATTTAATATTATATCAGGAAGTGGACTGGGGTCAAAGACTTAAACCCTAGACTTTTCATAAATCTTCTGTAACTGATCAAGAATTTAAACATTCATTTCTTCCTGGAAGTAAAACGTCTTTGAAATACACCCATGGAAATCATAGCATTATGCTTTAATGAACTGTATCCCAAATAGGGCTTACAAATAAAAAGCCAGGAAAAACTCAAATTAAAAATCTTTCCTAGGCCAAACATTACTATACAAATATTAACCATTAGCTTTCCACAAATGACGACAGATTCTATTTGAACAAAATATGTATTAAAGTGATTCCACCTTTAAAATATGAATCATAGAATTTATAAACCCAAAACCTTCATAGAATGTAAGGAAGTGAAAGAAAATTAAAGTAAACATACATAACAGCATTTGAATATACTGAAGTTTGCAACTGATCAGCAGCACATAAATTTAAGTCTGGAAGCTGTTACATTTCCCAATGAAGGCCTTAAACTAGTTACAGTACTATTCCCACCATAACCATTGGTTTCTCTGCACTTCAAATTTGAACTTCGCGTTACTGAAGGAGAAAAGATTAGGTTGGATTTAGTCAGACTTAGGATTTCTGCCTACTCGCTGGAGCTCTATAAGTAAAGATAGCCAACCCAATAAACCAGATTGAACAGGGCAAACGCTGTCGGAAAAAATATTCGGGAGTAGGAGTCGATCTTGGCAATGCGTATGTGAATTCTTCCTTCCCTCCAAGACCCCGTCCTGCAGTCTTCGAAGCAGCAAAAGAAGCTGGCGCAGTCTTTGCCCTCCAAACAGCGATAGCCATCGTCATCTTCTCCCTGCGGCAGGGAGATGCTGTGGATGGGGATCAGGGTGGACCCAGGGTGGAGGCCGGGCGAGATCTGCGTGAAGCAACAGAGACGGCTCTGAGACAAAGCAGCGCACAGAGAAAGACCCGTCTCTCCCCTCCACAAAACCTCGAGGGCACTGGCGGGCAGAGAGGACATCTAGATTTCTAAAACTTCAAGTTTTGCATTTCCAGTGTATGGTTAGGTTAAAATTGGTTGCACATAGCATTTTTTTTTAATATTCCAAAGAGATGCAAAAAGAGATGCCCCTGAAAAATAACATATATTTTACACCTTTAGAAAGTTGATCCAGCAAAATATTCTCAACTATGAATCTAAATCTAAAATGAGATTAAAGGGTATGTTTCTATGACATATACAGCAAGACATTTACAGAGTTATGGATTTGCTATTCTATGTTCTGTTACTTATTTTATTAATAGAATAAATGGCAAAGAACACTTTTTTTTTTTTTCTTTTTTTGGAGAGGTTTTTGCTATAGGGGCACATGTGCTCGCCAGAAAGACAGAGACAGAGAGGCAGAAAGCGAGAAATCACCCCCCAGGGGGGATGGCCATGCCACAATCCCTTCTCCTCCATTCTCCTCTCTGGATCTTGGGTACGCACACACACCCAGCGTGAGTTTAAGCCGCCGGGTCCGGGACTCAAACCGCAGTCAACTACAGTTGG